TCAAGGCTGCCATCTTCGCTGCTAAGATAAAGCACCTAACAAAGAGCAAGAAGTCCACAGGGAACCACATTAACATTCTTCAAATGCAGAGAGAGTTAAGCAGAAACCAGGATTATAATGTGGAGAACAGAGTTTGAGTCAAAGGACAGTAGAAGGATATCCTTAAGACGGCGCGTGCTGACCGAACGTGACGCTATTAAATGGAAACAAAGCGATGAACTCTAGCACCTCATAAGTAATGAGCTTATTTTTCTTTAGGCACAGTTTTTACCTCAGCCCAGGTGAATCGTACAGAGGACGGAGTCACCACCAACAAAGGCCACTCCTTTTTGTAATAAGCTGCTATACAGATGGCCTGAATAGTCTTTCCCAGGCCCATGTCATCAGCCAGGAGGAGGCGGCCCTGTTTAGACACTGCAAAGCTGCAGAGACAGAAGGAAATATTTAAGATAAAAGGTCATTACTGGAATGTCTCACAAACAGTGGCTTTTAATGTGCACACATAGAAGAAATTACAAATAAATAACTGTTTATTGTTATTATTGGCTACACTGCTTAGAAAGAGCACTAATGACTACCCAAAGAGACCTACTTGACTCCCTCCCTCTGGAAGGGCATGAGGCTTCGGGTGAGAGAGGGGTCGATGCTAGAGAGGTCTGCCTCAGGGACGTTTAAAATCCTGGCTTCAGTCCCATCAAACCTGGCAGAGAAAGCCTGGATTATTGCCCTGGGAAGAGGCTCCACCTCCACTGCTGCTATCCCACTGAGGAGATCCACTGGGTATGGAACACAGCGCGGTAAGACAAGATGGCAAATGTAACAGGGACATTGGTAGACCTGCTAAATAAAGCCAGTGTCATTACTCACTGAGTCTCTTATAGTCCTCGAGTGAAAAATTCCACTTTCTTGTTTTCATGTCTGCCACAGACAAAAAAAAAATCTGAGATCAGAAACCACAAAAGCAAAGAGACTATCAAAAAAAACAAACATAATCAAATAAAGCCACTGTTACCGTAGTTCTTTGTTGGCATTTGCTTGAATGCTGCAATGACATCAACATGGTAGCCAATGTCCACCTCAAACTTTGTCTGGGACACCAGAATGCACTGGCCCTGCAAAGTGGCTCCGGGCTTCTGCCAGCCATTACATAACTTGAGCAGCGCTGCCAGGGCCGTGCCGTCCCGAGCTCGGCTGGTGGCCTCCGTCACGTCCACCGCTTCCATTCCCTCCAAAGGTCTCAAAGACACCGAAGGAATGGCAGCTGCTTCCTCCACTGCAATACGGGGTCAAGAAAAAAAGTAATGATTTAAGACAGTTTGTTTAAAAACAGCAGCGTGCATGAGTTGAGCTCCTGAATATGGAAGATCCTGTGAATACTTCCGTACTTAGCTGTCGGTAGTCTTCTAGACTAAAGTTCCACATCTTGGTGGCAGGATCTAAGGCAGAAAATTGCATTTTTAATTCCAAAAGCCAGCAAAATCAGTATATAATACAAAATAACTATTTTAAAATTGCTAATCATCCTATATAGGATTAGAGATTTATGTTCATAAAAGAAGATAACAGTTTTTACAGTTTTTGCATTAACTGTTTAGGAATTACAAAAATTTTATATATATTTTCAGAGACTAATTCAAGCAGAGAATAATTGACTGGTAAGCAGTTTTATGGCCAGGTGAGGCCTGTTCCCTTTTATGACAAAAGAAACTGACATAATATCTAAAGCTGATCCAAAGTGTTGAATTCGTGCTGTAATTTTAAATATGACATCCAATGAGATCTCAGTGCAGTGAGGGAGGCCAAGTGCATGATCATAAGAAAAACTCAAGAAAACAAC